TATATATATATATATATATATATAATTTTAAGNGTTAGATGAGCTGCAAACAACTTATAGAGATTTAGGATGGGATCATCTTCCTTCCTCAAACAACATAAAATTAGTCACACTGCATTCTCAGACATTAGATTTTGATAGATGGACTCATGACTTCTTGTAGTGCATTCAACTCATTTTGAAATACCCATTATCCTCCATTCTGAGTAGTGGTAAGGATTAACCTTTTCCTCTATGAGTTTTTTACTATACTTAAAAGTAGGTTTATTTTGATATAATTTATCAGTCCAGATTCAAATATGAAAATTATCTGATTAACTTATTGAATTTAAATCATCCATCTAAAATACTTAAATCTAAATTAGTAATAATATATTCATAAAATTCTTATAAAATAATTTATTTCTAATATATGATTAAATTTGGAGTATTACAGTATAAATCTTTTCTTTTTTTAAGAGGACATTGCCACCAGAGCTTGATTATTGTGATGGACTGATGGTAAAGTTAATATTCTGGAATCCAACCGGTGATCCGTAAGACCATTTTCCACATCTATGAATGTGATTTGGGAAGAGAAAAAGACTCCAGCATTTATGAGCAAAAAATGCAACAAAATTAACAAACACTTCTAGGAATTGGAGGACCTGGAAGTATCCACATTTGATTAACAGCAAAATGTTTTCTAAAGAGCATGAATTCTGGCAATGACTAGATATGAAAAAATAGCACATCTACTGATTGAAACTTGAGCTTGTACTTACCTCAGGTTGATTGGGCTCTTTTCTGGGCTCAATCAAAGAAATTATGAGGCTTATACTGTTGATAGGCTTGGCCTTCCTCACTGATGATGCAGATGAAATTGTGGAACAAAAATTGAACTGTATTCAATGATAATTCGTTCAGATTTGGAGACATGATTCAATAGAATATGTGTCGTAGGACAAACCATTAATTCTCTTTTGCTCAAGCCTAAATCAAGCATTCAAGGAGAATACTGTGTGGAGTCTCTGTGCCAAATCATTTGAACTTTGCTTACCTGCAGACCCCATGTCGCCATGTGCTAATATTCTCAATTAAGATAGATAGCCACTTGACCTAAAATACACAGGAACTAAGCTGGATTATGCTTGTATTCTTTGAATCAAGAACCCTTGAACCAAGACCGCTTTTGGTTATCACCAGACAAATATCAGTAAGTATCCTAAAAATTAATACTAGCTGCATATGGATCTCTACTATGTTTTCAGCATTAGCACACGCGCGGCATTAACCATAAATAAAATCTTTTGTATTAGAAGAACATGGAGTAATAGATGAAGAATAATCTTACACAAGTTCTTCCGAGAGAATAATTGACTGGTCGACAAAAGAGATAGCAAGAGGATCACAACATCAAGCTTCTTCTAAGGATCCAACTCAAGGAACTCAATCTTTTACTCAAATATGAAGAAGCATGGATGCTTGATCTCCCAGATAAATTATCAATGAAGGCATGACAGGATAGAAGTAACAATGTAACACCCTCAGTTTTTCCACTTGTAATCCACCGATATAGCCATCTTCAGATATCAATTAATAACTGTTTTAGTCTCAGATTCTTCAGTTCCTCTAAGCATGTGCAGATCATCATTATCAATTAGCACAATCTGTATTAGTCATTAACAAAGCCACAAATTGCTCTTAAGACAGGCCATCATGTCTGTTCATTTTTTGAGAACCTTGTGCATGTACAGTTCATGACACTCCTAAAGCTTGTCAGTAGGAATTTAGCAGTACAAGATAAGAAAAAGAAGTATTTTGCAGTACAAGATAAGAAAAATAAACAATGGATTAGAGATGCATTATCAATCTAGAATAAGTAGATCAGTTATCAAGACTTAGTATCCTCCACCACAAGCTGACTTTATTTCATGCAACAATATGACCATGCAAGCCTGCCCATGAAAGAGTTGTTTTCATGCAATAATGTTTAGGCAGAGCAAGATCCATGCATTTAATGTTAGCAGGAGACTTGTCTTGAGGTTACTGTTTGCCTCTTCACCAAAGAGAAGAGGCATTGGCATTCATTGTGGTGCCTCTTCTCCACCTAGTTTTTGTCGGTCATCAGTATATCCTAATCGAAAAATGGGCCAGCCCTATGGATCAACTGGAATAAACTAATAAAAGGCAACATTGCTTTTAATTCTATGTCATAGTTTCCTAGATGATTTCATGCTGAATGCTCCAAACAAATCAATTAACTTCTCACCATTCTTGTACCAATATATTTTTAGAGCAAGCAAGCCTGGAGAGGCTTCCTGCATCCTATACACAGCTCATATTATTTGAGACAGTTAGCTGATGGACCACACAAGTGCAGTTTGTTGTCTTCACACATTAATTTCTCCCGTTGTTGAGCAAAATTTAGTGATGTCTTTTACAAGTTTCATTTAAGACAAACTGCTGGAACTCAAGCTACATAACATTATTGAGAAAGATTTCCACTGCCACGTCAAAAGGCTTGGCTAAGGAGCTAGTAAGACTAAACTGCAACTTCAAACATGAGAGAAATCACCAGTGAATGCCTCTTCACTGATCAGCACAATATATGAACAGGGAAGTTCTCAGCTTTCAGTACTTGTATGACGTGATTGTCCTGCTCTTCAGTCAAAGGGTGAAGTATCAATTCTCAATGCTGATGGCGAAAAGGATCTGTGGAACAGTGACAATTATTGCCAGGGTAGATACCTGCATGGGTGATGGTATTGGCATCATAATTGATCTTTTCTCAAAACATTAGTGCATATTGTTGGTGGTTCTGTGGCCTCTCTCCATGCATTTATCTGCTAATGACTTCAATTTGTTAACCAATAGGCTTCTTGCACTGGTGATTTGGAGTTTAGGCTTTGATGGAACTGGACATCATTGTAGGACTGGATAGTGGCACAATCTGAAAGAAACCAATAATAAAATCATAAAGAAGTCCTAATTAGTCCCTAAACTCCAGATGTAAGCAAATCTCAAGGGTATAGTTTATAACAAGCAGACAAGATCAGGAAGTATGATAAGGATTAAGTTAATAAGAGGAATGAGATGGCTTCCAGATCCACTGCAAGCTATGATGTGCTGAGGGAGACAACTTTTACTGTGAAAGGTATCGGACATCTAACACTCATTTTTTAGTTTAGTCACCCTCACTCGAGTCCAGATTCCACAATATCTGATCTTACAGAGCAATATATATATTAGAAAATACAAATGTCATACGAAATATCTTATGTAGCTTTACCCCCCCAACTCTTGCTAGAGTTCCAATGAACTCCCGTCTCCAAATTCTGTCAATCATATACCAAGACTGAATCCATCTTTGCTTAGATAGATCTTAGATAAAGTAATAGGACTAGGAGCTGTACTATGCCAAACACTTTAAAGCAGGAAATTGTTCATCAAGTAAGTTCCAATTTAAGACAGTCCACTAAGTGAAAGCATATTATATCAAGGATAACTCGCAACATGAACTCAAGTACATAACATGATATTATTGTCCTCTGTTGATAGCCAGTGGCACCATCAAGTTGAAGGTAAGGAGGTGATACAGTAAGGTGATGGTAGAAGTCCAACGTTAAGTGCATATTTAACCTCTGTAGAGTTAGATGAACACTCTTG